CTCATTGGTCCTAAAGGCATTTGAACTTATTAAAAGGGTCTATTTGATTCATTCGTTGCTTAGAGTCCGCAAATCAAAAGAAATTTTTTGTAGCGTGTACTAAGTGAACCGGCGCGGTTATGCATTTTTGTACTAGTTCGTGATGCGTAGTGTGACGTGAAGTGTAGGAGCTCGAAATGAAAATTGTCTAGCTAACTGAATTTGGTAATTGAAAACTGCGAAGAAGTGGCATGAACAAGGACTTATTTACATGTCTGAGGCCAAAATGAGAGGATGACTCGGCACATAAAAATTTGGCACTCTAGCAAATGTTTATGAGGGAGGTTTGCCCATAGCTAGTAATATTTGAAGTACCCAGGCACGAAGCCTGAGTCGCAGATACCAGTTTCATACACACAAGTCAGCACATGAATAACGGATGTTTCCATAAAATTGCTGCGACCTGTGTAGCCTAACCCAAGTTAAACGGATGCCAACAGTGCTCCTTCTGGAAGTGCCACCTGCTTATATGAGAGATCTGAAACTGTGTGTAAATTTCAAATATTCCTATTACGCATAATCATATTTTCAGAAAATTTCAGCCTCCTAGCTCACGTAAGTCTTGAGACAGCTTCTCCTCCAAGGATGGTTTAACGCACCCGTGCGCATGACATAGGTAAATGCAAATGCTCATATTACGTGTCGAACTCATACACATGCAGCAAATATATTTGAAAAATTAGAGATATATTTGAAAAATTAGAAATTTGAGTCTACTCAGCCCAGTTGGCGTTTCGCCTGCTGCTGCGAAATCGCAAATTTGGTTTGTCCGTATACGTATGGTCGAGCTGTATTTTAAATATTCTGCGCTTACATAAGAGCGCAGAATATTCCCGAGTTTACGATTCGAAGAGGCATGACGCTTTTTTTAAAACTTGCTTAAATACATTGTAACTTACAGGGTGGTATACTGATAATGGAGTGGATAATTGTTTATGGCACTTCTTGGGGTCTTCTCATTGCCGTATTCTGTGAAACTATCGTCATTTCCTTTTTTTATGGTAGATGTTTGTACTTTATTGCAGAAACTTGAAGATGAAGAAATCTACAATAGTGTTGCAAATTTTAACGAAATTACCAGTTTTTATACGTTTTTGCTACGTCCAGCAATAACGCATACTGTCGAGGGGCTGTGTGTGTGTGTGTGTGTGTGTGTGTGTGTGTGTGTGTG